GCGTCATGCGTGTCCTTGGTGTGTCTGTGTCTGTCTGTGTCGGTCTGTGTCGGTGTTGCGTCATGTGTGTGCGGGTGTGAAACTGGTACGTACTCGGCCTTGTTCCTTGCTTGATGCGGACAAGCCTTCACCCATGCTTAACAACGTGCTGTGTTGACTCAACCCCCCCCCCCCCAGCTTTGAGGAAGGGTTCCCGCTGGTTGACGCGGATCCCGTGACAAAGACGGCGGTGATCACGGCGCCAGAGGGCACACGCCGGGACCAGTTCCTGCAGTGGGCTGATTCCCTGCCCAACAGCCAGTCGCCAGCGTGGCTCGGCCTCCCTGCCAACGCAGAAAACGTCCTCCTCACCAACCGCGCAGAGACCATGATCAACAACATGCACAAGCTGCAGGTGCGTGTGGTGTCTGCTTGTTTGCATTGCGTGTGTGTGCGTGTGCGTGCGTGCGTGTGTGTGTGTGTGTGTGTGTGTGCGTGTGTGTGTGTGCGTGTGTGTGTGCGTGTGTGTGTGTGTTTGCTCTGCCCTTTTTTTTTTCTGTGTGTGGTGTGCCGTGCGCTTCCTCACTGTACCATCTTTGCCGCCCACCCACCACCTTTCCTCCAACATCATCCAGACAACCGACGAGGAAGATGACTTTGGCGAGGAGAGTACGGAGGTGACCCCGTCGTCTGCAGTGCCCATGTGGATGCGGCACCTCAAGACGAGCTGCCAGGAGTGGTTGGCCGTGCTGCCGGATGACCTTGACACCCTGCATCGCTCCCCGGAGAAGATCCGTGACCCCCTCTTCCGCTTCTTCGACCGCGAGATTGGCATTGGCTCCAAGCTCCTCAAAACGGTGCGTCGTGTGCGTGCGTGTGTGTGTGTGTGTGTGTGTGTGTGTGTGTGTGTGTGTGTGTGTGTGTGTGTGTGTGTGTGTGGGTTGTTTTTTCTTTTTTGTGGGTGTTGTGTGTTGTTGTTTCTTTTTTTTTCTTTTTTTTTTGTGTATGTGCATTGGGTTTGCGCTTTTTCCTTCTCTTGCACATCACCGCTGCCACCGCTTCGCCAACGTCCACCTAACCCCCCCCCTCTTCCCCCGATTGTCAGGTCCGGCGCGACTTGGGCGACGTGGTGCTGGCGTGTGACGGCGAGATCAAGCAGACCAACTACCTGCGCTCGCTCATGGTGGACCACCTGACAAAGGGGCAGGTGTTTAAGGGGTGGCTGCGGTACAAGGTGCCCAAGGACAGCAGCGTGTCGACGTGGATCACCGACTTTCCGAGCGCGTGCGCCAGCTGCAGGCTGTGTGCGCACTGCAACGCGGGCCAGGACCTGCGCGCCCTCAACGTGTGGATTGGCGGCCTGTTTGTGCCCGAGGCGTTTATCACGGCGACGCGGCAGGCTGTGGCGCAGGCGCACTCGTGGCCGCTGGAGACGCTCGAGCTTTGTGCTGGACATGCGGCCGGAGCAGGCGGCCGACAGCGTGCCCGGGGTTTGTGGACGCGCAGAGCTTCAAGCTGGTCAACATGCGCATGGATGGCGCGACGGGCAAGGGCAGCGCGCTCGCGCTCTCGCAGACAACGTTCACGGTGATTCCGCTCACCATCCTCAAGTGGGTGAACACGGTGCAGGAGGCGCTGCCGGCGGAGGAAGGCAGCGGCGGCATTCGCGTGCCCGTGTACCTCAATGCCACGCGCGCCGAGCTCATCTTCACCTGCACGCTGCGGGCAGAGGGCCTGTCGGAGAGCACCGTGTACGGTCGCGGTGTCGCCCTCGCCTGCTCCTCCCTCAGCGGCGTCGTTTGAGTGCAGTGTGTTGTGTTGCTGTGTTGTTGTTGTTGTTGTTGTTGTTGTTGTTGTTGTTGTTGTTGTTGTGTGTGTGTGTGGGTGTGCCTGTGTGGGTGTGCCTGTGTGTGTTTGTGTGTGTGGGTGTGTGTGTGTGTGTTCGTGTGTGTGTGTGTTGAAGTGACAGATGGCCTTGTACTGAATCGTTTGTTAGCTGATCGAGAGTCCCACAAGGTGTGTTTTTTTTTGTTGCACAGTGCTTCTTTCTCTTTCCATCGTCTGTGTGTTTGCTGGGTGTGTGGTGGCGTTGCATTAAAAGCGAGCAAACAAGCAAGCAGGAGGGTGAGCCAAGCAAGAGCAGAGGGCACGAAGCAAAGCAAAACAAGCCACACATGAGACAAAGGGAAGCGGAGAAGGCAGCATTGGTGGAAGACACGTCCAAAATTCCATGGGGGTGGGACAATTTTTCCGCCCTTTATAAAACCAAACAAAGCGACGTTTGCACCCTGATTGGGAGTGGGATGTTGTTTCTCTCGTTGGTCGACTGGTTTGGGTTCGAGCCTGGACGCCTCACATTTCCGACGCCCTTGATCGACGCGTCACGCGCCAATTTCTTGCTCTATCATGCCAAGAAATCACACTTGATGCCTGAGTCCCTCTGCCGTGGCTTGCTTCCGCTAGACCCAGCGATCGCTTGTTCCCGCTTAACACAGCAGCGGTGACGCAGAAAGGTGACCGATGTGTGTTAAGGCGCCCCAG